TGAACATGGGAGTGTCTTGGAGAGGTGAGGTTGGCAACTTTTGCTGAAGCTTCAGAAAAAGTTAAAATTAAATTGTAGGTGTCTAGAGGGAGGTGTAAAAACACCTGCCTTAGAAAGCAGATAAAGCAGCAGCCATCTCTCCTTCCCCGCACAGCTGGCACAGGTGGGTCCCAGGGCAGGAGGATAACATAGGACTGCCCTGAAGGTGGAAGTAGGTCCAGCTGGGGTAGGCATGTACCCTTCCTAAGAGACGTCCTCCCAGTGTTGCTGTCCTGCCACAACCTCTGATACTCTATCTCCCAAGAGCCCTTACCACATATCTAAATTGGAAACAAAGCTCCCTTAGGAAGTTTTCTTCCAAGAGTCCCGCTCAGCTTTCTGGGCTTGGCAGTGACCATGTATGTTTAGAAATCCTTGGATGGTGAAGCGAGATCAAGTCACTTAAGCCACCCTACCCCGGCCGTTAGAGAGGTTCACTGCATCAGAGGGACATTGGTCCAGAGGGACACTGACCCAGAGGACTCTTTGTTCCTACCAAAATTAGCATGGAAAGGAAGGAGTCTCATGCAAGGTGCTATCTGCTCTGCTCATACCATGGGTTACTGAGAGTCAAGGGAGGTAAAGAACATGAAAGCTCTCTGAAAACTTCAGAACCACTGAGACATAGTTATCATTATAACTAGCTCACCATTCTCTCCATGCACCACCCTTGGAAGACAGTCACTGGTGCTGGGGCATGTCCTGGGCTCTGATGAAGCACTCCCTCTCCATGGACTCTCTAGAGCAGGGCTTGCAAAGGGCACTGCATGGAATGTCAGCCCAGAGATGATTAAAAGCAACAAATCAAGATGCCATGGGAAACTAAGTTTGGGAAATGCTGCATATTACACCTCCTTTTGAAAGTCCTATTTAGCATCTTAAAGAGCTGAGAGGTTCTGCAGTAAAAATAACTACTAGCTCAATATTGAGTCCCGTCTTTACCAAGTGTATTATTTCCCTATGGCTGCCGTAACAAAGTTCCATAACCTGAGTGGAACAAGAGAAATCTGTTTTCTCCCAGTTCTGGAGACTGGAAGTCAGAAATCAAGGTGTTGACATGGCCACACTCCCTCTGAAGGCTCTAGGGGAGGATTCTTTGTCACTTCTTCCTAGCTTCTGGTGATTGTCAGCAATCCTTGGTGTTCCTTGGCTTACAGACTCATCACTCCAATCTGTGCCTTCATAGAAGCATGCTGTTCTCCCTGTGTGTCTGTGTCCATATTTCTTTCTTCTCAAAAGGATCTCACTCATTGGATTAGGGCCCACCCTATTCCAGTATGTTCTCATCTTAACTTAATTACACATCTGCCAAGACCATATCTCCAAGTAAGTCACATTCACATGTTCTGGGTTAGGACTTCAACATATCTTTTTGGGAGACACAATTCAACCCATATTACCAAGCTTATGTGAACATGGAGCACTTTCATCAATGCACCAGCTGGTAATATCGAGATATCCACAGAACACTCCCTAGAAGTGCCTTTGTAGAACCAATGACTCAGTGCCTCTCTTGCTTAGCACTAGGACAGAATCGGAGTGAAAAGTACATATAAAAAGCAATTTTTAAAATTTGCACTTTATTCAAGAAATGATTGTTGAGCAACTATAGGCCCTGGGCTAAGGCCTTGAGGACTCTGGGAGTGAATGAGGGGAGGGTCTCAGCTCTCAGGAACTGAATGACCTAATAGGAGCCCTTAACTCTCAGGTAAAGTAGGGTAAGCAAAACTCTTCAGAAAGAGAATTGGAAGGGGTGAGGGAGAGGTGGAATTTCACAAAAGATGAGGGACAAGGAGCATGCAGGCTGCAGGAACAGTGAAGGCCAGAGGCAAGAAAGCTGGGCTACAATCTGGGAACTGTGACATCAGTGGATGAGAGGGCCACAGGGGGAAATAAAGCAGAGAGTGGGTCTGAGGCACACAGTGCATTCATGTCACCCTAATGATCTCCAACCCAACTGTGACTTAGCCCAGACTCCATTTCCACTGCTAATATTAGCTCCCTCATTTCTCACTCCACAGACCTATTCAAGAGTTTGCAAAAGTCACAAGGTGTAAAGTTGCAATTGGTCATCCATTTGTTGCAATGAACTCTGGTTGGAGCTGATATCTTGAGTCAGATGTAGTATTAAAACAAAAAAAAAAAAAAAAAAAAAAGGAAAACATCTTGGGTTTTGTGGTCCAGAGGCTACCTCTCTAGACCTTTCCAGAATCTCCTGGGCTTAGTAAACTGGGCAGAAAAATTCAGAGTGTTAATTATTAGCTCCTCTTTCAGTGCCAGACCAAGATAAGTGTATGTTGCTAGACAAAAATGTCTTACTTGTCTTTGTAGGAATAATAGTTTATTGAAATATTCACAGTGCTTCTACTATTTTTATACCCATACACTGTTCTGGAGAAGATTAATAACCCTACTCTCATGCTCCCGTATAAGAACGAAGATTCTCGAGTTCCTCTTGCCTTGTCATGGGGACTCAGGAGTTGACCAAGGAAAAACTATTTGGCCCTGTGAGGAATGGCACTGTCAGTGTCTGTCCTGGATGGAGCCTAGTCAGGAAGCAGTCTGAAAGTATTCAGTTGTGGTCACCTCATGAAGATGCCTGGCAGGTGGCTCTCAGGAAAAATACTAAGTCTGGATCATCCACGTGGCAGCTTTGCATGGGGAGATGGTGGTTCCGAACTGGAACTGAACTGCCTTCCATGCACTTGACCAAAGCAATGAGAGTGGTCAGTACATGTGGTGTGAATGGCAGGTTTAAAGAGGAGGAAATGTTTTCTGCTTTCCTTTGTCCTTGGACTGCTCAAGCTGAACAGTAGGTGACCACTGTCTTAAAGGAACCAGCCCCACTTGGCTGATTTGCATCAGAGCTCCATTTCATCCCTAGCCTTGAGTTCCTTTTGGTCTGAAAAGGTGGTTTGTCTCATGATATCCACAGCTAGAACATTCTCTTTAATTATGAATTGTTTTACATTAACTAAAAGAGAATGTCTTTGATCACTAGAGTTTGTCAGTGTTGGACTGTTTCCATTGTGACATTCTTAAATTTTTTGTTTCAAAATATTAAAGTAACTCATGTTAGAGACCCTTTCAACATGAAAGGCTTGTAGTTGAGACATTACATATATTTTACTGTTTATAAAAAAAAGTCATCTATACAAAAAAAAAAAAAAGATTAACAACACTACTACCCAAGCCTGTGAATCTCAGACTTGAAAATACTCAGAACCCACTCTTCCTTCCTTCCTGCCAGGTTATAAGCACTGACATTAAGGCACTGGGCTATTTCAGGAATTTTCAAACACTCAGCCTTGCCAGAAACAAGCAAGAAACACATCAGTTCACAATAGGAAGAAAAAGGTTTATGTTATGTCAAGACAAATTTACCAGTACAAACCCAAGGCACATGCCAGTTGTGAAACATGCTGCTTCTAGAGAGAAGGGGATTATGGATGATTAGAGCACATCCTGACCATGCTTTTGCTCATCCTCAGACATTCAGTCTTCTAGGAATTGGGAGTCTCGGGTACAGTAGGGCCTTTTATGCCTTTGAGCAAAAGTACATGTGGTTCTCTCATACCCTAGCCTTACTATTCAAAGACATTTCTAACACAAGGACAGTAATATTCCAAAACAGTTAAGTTTATATGTGATTCCATAACTCAAATTAATTCTGAACAGTCACACTCAGGGGTAGTGAATGAATAGTATTCTAAACCAAAGTTCATGCCAACCTCTCTCCTAATGGCTATTTCTCTCCAGTTTACATGTCATCGCACCCACTGTGAACACACCTTTGAATAAGAAATATGCCTTCCCTGCCCCACCCACCTTCATCCAATTTCATTTGATTTTGATATCCAAACAATGCAGTTTACGCTATGGATGCAGTTCAGAGGACACTGAGTCCAAAACCAGATGATGGCAAATGAGAATGAAAGCCAGAAAATTCATGCTATAGCTAGATAATCCAGATCCTTTGTATCCAGGATTCCAGCACCATGGACAGCAGCAAACAACCAGTTCTATTAACCCATGGGTACAGATAGTATGGAAAGTTTAGGTCTAGGAACACACTTTGGTAACATGGCCATTCTGTGTCTTTCACTGTGCTGCATAAAATAAGAACTAAACCGGGGGGAGGTTTTTAGATTTGAAAGTCAATATGGTATTTGCTCACTTTTAAAGATTGGTGCTCTTTTTGGAGACAATACTACAGAGAAGGAGACGTGATTAGGGCTAAAGCCAAAAGCCAGACTCTAGACCAAGAATTCACTTTGGTTTCTGACTTCATCCTCCCATCCCTGCAATAAAGGGCTGATTGGTGGGGATTTCCATAAATCATACAAAAGACACCCTCTCATGAGAGACTAGGTATTACTGAAAGCAAGTAAACTTCAATTCCCACTAAAAGATTTCAGAAGTTACCACCCATATATATATTTACCTCAGTGATCAGAAAACAAATGTGCTAGAGGAACTGTGCTAGAGGGAAAATAAAACACCATTGCATTGTTTTCAGAAGGGAAATTAATTGCTTATATCTATTTCAGCTTAACTAAAGCTGTAAAAATCTAATCAGAAATATTTTTCACAGTGGCACATGTTCCCAGATATTGAAATACCTCAAACCATAAACCATTTTTTATTGTTGAGGTGGTTTTCACTAGGTGGAACTAAATTATTACTTCAAACTTTACTCAAAAGATGAGGCCTCTCTGGAGAGACTGTAAACATTATCTTGAATAAGCCAGCTCACCAGACCCCATCTCTGATACTAGAAGGTAGAAGACGTGGTTCTCACAAGCAAACCTGGAGCCCCTAGAGGCAAGTGCCAAATAGTCAGCACCCAGAAAAGGCCACACGAAATGTCAAAGAACAGGCTGAAGTTCGTCTTAACTTCAACAAACTACATCCAAATGTCAACAATGAAAATGAAATGAGTATGAATGCATCTTCCCTACCTTCTCTTCTTGTGACTTCAAGGCGTCTGGATTCCTGCAAGAAAAGAAAGACTCGGTGTTTTCAAAGAATAATTCATATGTAGAGATACTTGAAAATATCTCACCTGTTGTTAGATATTTATTCACAGAAAAGTAAACAATCTCATAAGGACAAGACATTCAGCAATGTGGGGTTTATTAAACTCTCATACATACACACATCTGTAAATATAAACTACTTGTTGCTTTGTTGGCTTAAGCAAAAAATACTGTTAATCATGCAGTTTTTAATGAGCGGAGCCAACTCTCATGGTCTTCCTTATGTGGAAACTGGGCTGGTATCAATTGTTAGGAAAGACCTCGCTCCAAGTTGAATTCCCACCCTCCACCTAGACTGCAGGTGCTTGCAGGGCCTCGGGAAAGCATAAGAAGACAGAGGCCAGAATTATATGGGCAGCAGTAGGTTGTGATTGGTGGTGCCATGGTGAAGACTACCATTGCTCCTGTGCAGGTTACTGGCATGATCTGGTGACAGATTATGCTCATCAATAGTTTCCAAAGGTGGGATATTATGGACAATTTGGATAGCCAGTCCATGCCACTGCACTGAATTAAGCCCTTGGCTTTTCTAAATTCAATCTCATCTTCATGCACTGTGCAAAGCAATAAGCAAAGTGTTTCAGAAATTACATAGGTAAAACAGAGTCCCTGCATTGAAGATATGCACAGTTGAATAGAAGGGTACAGAACACAAATTACTGAGAAATAAAGGGGTGATTTTGCCTTGATAAATACCAATATATTCACATTCAACTGAAAACATAAGAAAAAGTTTTTTTTTTTTTAAAGCACTTTGTAAATAGCACTGAAGAATGGGAAGGCTTTCAGACAGCAATAAGGGAAGGAGGGTGCACCAGGAAGAGAGAATGGCTTGAGAAAAGACAGGGTGGCAAAAAAAGTACAGGGCATGGTCAGGAAGCAGGAAAAGACTGAGTGGGAAGTAATGGGGGGAAAGGCTGAAACATATTGTGGTTTCATCACTAATAAAAAGTATCTACAATCCGTTATAAATGACCAGTTTAGGAATAAAAAGCCTAATCTTGAGAATAAGCTGAAAATCTATTCTAGCAACTGAAGAAAAGAAGATCAAACACTGAACTTGGGACAACTCAAAATCACAACCAGAAAGACCACTCAGCACCATCACTTTTTAAACAAATGATATTGTCTTTCATACCTTAACATTCTTGTCTAGCATTCTTATGGAGCCAGGAAGGGGAGGCAATATTAGAAAGGAAACTGAGGAGGCAATGAAAAGATTGTCCTGCCCAAATTACACTTTCTGACTGCCATCTCTGTAATGAGTCAAAAGCCCAAGTGGAGCTGATCTCCCTGTGCTATGCGGCTGCTTCCCACTAGCTATCTATTTTAAGTTTGGTAGTGTATATATGTCCATGCCACTCTCTCACTTTGTCACAAGGTTCACTTTGTTACAAGGCAGAAACTAACACACCACTGTAAAGCAATTATACTCCAATAAAGATGTAAAAAAAAAAAAAAAACCAAGTGGAGACCAATTGAAGATACATGTTATAGGGCAGCAGCACATCAGCACAGCACAATTAACCAAACAAGCTTCCAACGTGCTGGTTCCTCAGCAGCTCAGGGTTCAAAAGAGGGAGCTTGGACAGTAGTAACTATAATGAGAGATACGAAAGCCATGAAGCACATCATGCACCGAGTAAACCCAGCTCCTTCCACACTGCTCCTCAGCTCTCTGCTCTAGGGGCTGGCACCTCCATCCTTGGAAATAACTAGTATTTGTGGAATAGGGATTGGTACAGCTCTAGAAAAAAATTTTACAGAAATTTTATTGCAATTGCATAAAATTTATAAATTAACTTAGGGTAAGTTGACATCTGTATAATGTTGTATCCCCTTATCTAACATGGTATTTTTAATAATTTGTTCAAGTCTATTTTTATTCAGGAGTATAATTTTCCTGTATATATGCTGAAAATTTATTTACTACATATATTTTGTTATCAAAAATAGAATTTATCTTGCATTATATCTTATGACTGGTTCTCCTTTGTATATGTGACGGCAATTGATTCTTATATATTGATATAACAGACCACATGACTAAATTTCTTATTGCTTGTAATACGTTTCCCAATGATTCTTTTGGGCTCTCCATTTGTATATTTACACAATCTGCAAATAGTAGTGATTTTCTTTCTTTCTCCCAGTTTCTAGGTCTACACTTGCTTTCTCTAGCCTTATTCTTTTTTTTTTAACATCTTTATTGAAGTATAATTGCTTTACAATGGTGTGTTAGTTTCTGTTTATAACAAAGTGAATCAGTTATACATATACATATCTCCCCATATCCCCTCCCTCTTGTGTCTCTCTCCCACCCACCCTATCTCACCCCTCTAGGGGGACAAAAAGCACCGAGCTGACCTCCCTGTGCTATGCAGCTGCTTCCCACTATCTATTTCACATTTGGAAGTGTATATATGTCAATGCTACTCTCTCACTTCCTCCCAGCTTTCCCTTCCCCCTCCCTTCCTCAAGTTCATTCTCTATGTCTTTATTCCTGTCCTGCCCCAAGGTTCTTCAGAGCCATTTTCTTATTTTTCAGATTCTATATATATATATGTGTTAGCATATGGTATTTTTCTCTTTCTGACTTCATTCTGTATGACAGACTCTAGGTCCATCCACCTCACTACAAATAACTCTATTTCGTTTCTTTTTATGGCTGAGTAATATTGCATTGTATATATGTGCCACATCTTCTTTATCCATTCATCTGCCGATGGACACTTAGGTTGCTTCCATGTCCTGGCTACTATAAATAGCGCTGCAATGACCATTGTGGTACATGACTCTTTTTGAATTATGGTTTTCTCAGGGTATATGCCCAGTAGTGGGATTGCTGGGTCATATGGTAGTTCGATTTTCAGTTTTTTAAGGAACCTCCATACTGTTCTCCATAGTAGCTGTATCAATTTACATTCCCACCAACAGTGCAAGAGGGTCCCCTTTTCTCCACACCCTCTCTAGCATTTATCGTTTGTAGATTTTTTGATGATGGCCATTCTGACCGGTGTGAGGTGATAGCTCACTGTAGTTTTGATTTGCATTTCTCTAATGATTAGTGATGTTGAGCATCCTTGAATGTGTTTGTTGGCAATCTGTATATCTTCTTTGGAGAAATGTCTGTTTAGGTCTTCTGCCCACTTTTGGATTGTTTGTTTTTTTGATATTGAGCTGCATGAGCTGCTTTTATATTTTGGAGATTAATCCTTTGTCAGTTGCTTCATTTCCAAATATTTTCTCCCATTCTGAGGGTTGTCTTTTCAACTTGTTTATAGTTTCCTTTGATGTGCAAAAGATTTTAAGTTTCATTAGGTTGCATTTGTTTATTTTTGTTTTTATTTCCATTTCTCTAGGAGGTGGGTCAAAAAGGATCTTGCTGTGATATATGTCATAGAGTGTTCTGCCTATGTTTTCCTCTAAGAGTTTTATAGTGTCCGGCCTTACATTCAGGTCTTTAATCCATTTTGACTTTATTTTTGTGTATGGTGTTAGGGAGTGTTCTAATTTCATTCTTTAACATGTAGCTGTCCAGCTTACCCAGCACCACTTACTGAAGAGGCTGTCTTTTCTCCATTGTATATTCTTGCCTCCTTTATCAAAAATAAGGTGACCATATGTGTGTGGGTTTATCTCTGGGCTTTCTATCCTGTTCCATTGACCAATATTTCTGTTTTCGTGCCAGTACCATACTGTCTTGCTTACCGTAGCTTTGTAATATAGCCTAAAGTCAGGGAGCCTGATTCCTCCAGCTCCGTTTTTCGTTCTCAAGATTGCTTTGGCTATTCGGGGTCTTTTGTGTTTCCATACAAATTGTGAAATTTTTTGTTTTAGTTCTGAAGATAAAGCCGTCGATAGTTTGATAGGGATTGCATGGAAACTATAGATTGCTTTGGGTAATATAGTCATTTACACAATGTTGATTCCTCCAACCCAAGAACATGGTATATCTCTCCATCTGCTTGTATCATCTTTAATTTCTTCCATCAGTGTCTTATAGTTTTCTGCATACAGGTGTTTTGTCTCCTTAGGTAGGTTTATTCCTAGGTATTTTATTCTTTTTGTTGAAATGGTAAATGGGAATGTTTCCTTAATTTCTCTTTCAGCTCTTTCATCATTAGTGTATAGGAATGCAAGAGATTTCTGTGCATTAATTTTGTATCCTGCAACTTTACCAGATTCACTGATTAGCTCTAGTAGTTTTCTGGTGGCATCTTTAGGATTCTCTATGTATAGTGTCATGTCATCTGCAAAGAGTGACAGTTTACTTCTTCTTTTCTGATTTGGACTCCATTTATTTCTTTTTCTTCTCTGATTGCTGTGACTAGGACTTCCAAAACTATGTTCAGTAACAGTGGCAAGAGTGGACATCCTTGTCTTGTTCCTGATCTTAGAGGAAATACTTTCAGTTTTTCACCATTAAGAACGATGTTGGCTGTGGGTTTGTCCTATATGGCCTTTACTATGTTGAGGTAAGTTCCCTCTACACCTACTTTCTGGAGGGTTTTTATCCTAAATGGGTGTCGAATTCTGTTGAAAGCTCTTTCTGCATTTATTGAGATGATCATATGGTTTTTCTCCTTCAATTGGTTAACATGCTGTATCACATTGACTGATTTGTGTATATTGAAGAATCTTTGCATTCCTGGGACAAACTCCACTTGATCATGGTGTATGATCCTTTTAATGTGCTGTTGGATTCTGTTTGCTAGTATTTTGCTGAGGATTTTTGCATCTGTGTTCATCAGTGATATTGGCCTGTAGTTTTCTTTTTTTGTGATATCTTTGGTTTTGATATCAGGGTGATGGTGGCCTCGTAGAATGAGTTTGTGAGTGCTATATTTTGGATGAGTTTGAGAAGAATAGGTATTAGCTCTTCTCTAAATGTTTGATAGAATTCGCCTGTGAAGCCATCTGGTCCTGGGCTTTTGTTTGGAATAGGTATAGCTC